TATTCTTTACATAAAACCAAATGGTTCACATGGTTCAAAGACCGAGATGCAAAAAGAAAGAAAAAAGAAAGAACCATGAAAATACTAGGTAAAAGTAGTTTTCTTTTAAAAAATAGTTATGGAATACGGTTTTTAAAGCATGATGTTAAATTGAGATGCCATAATGGAAAAAGATTGAATTCGGAACATAAAAATTTATGTATAATGAACATATATCAAGTGAAAAAACATATTAAAACTATATTTCTCCTTTGATGGATATATACACATATATACCTACATATTATATTAATAACATATAATATATAAAGAGCACTTATAAATCTATAAGAAAAATACCAACAACCTAGTAGATATATAGATAAAGCATGGGAATAAGCAAATCTTAGAAAAAGAAATTGGATGCTTAATCTCATTAATAAATGGATAAATACAGATGAAAACAGGTCTCTTACCTCTCCACCTAATAGAAATTTTAAAATTTATTGATAATAATACTGTTAAGAATTTGAGGAAACAGGCTGTTTTATACACTATCGGAAATGATACAAATCGACACTTTTTTTGGAGTGCAATTTGATGATAGCCTTCAAAAAAATATTCTAAGCCTAGTTCAATCTAACAGTTTTACCCTTAGAAGTTTACCCTACAGATCTGCTTGCACAAGCATAACAAAATGCATGCCATCTCTATACAGTGGAATAGTGTACCAGATTGTGTCTATTGACATGGAAAAGTGTTCATGAGATACTGTTAGAGAAGAGACTAGTACTTACTGCTTGGTTTCATTTGCCTTAAAAATAAAGTAGATGCGTATTTAACAACATCTACTTAAAAATATGTGGAAGAATATGTTCTAAATGGTTAAATGTAGATACATCAGGGAAATGGGGGGAGACAGATATGGGAAACTAGCTGAGGCCTTTCACTTTTTACTTTATAATAATCTGTACTATTTTTTAAAAAAATAACATATATTACTTTTATAATTTTTAAAACCTTTATTTGCCGTTCATAGGAAAACTACTAGGTTCAGGGGCACTCTAGTGGGTTACAAATTCTTCAAACCTACTGTTTGTATTCTCTAATATTCATATAAAATAATAAGTATTCATGTTCTCATTAAATTTTTTGTTCTTTTAAAAAAAATCTGAGTCCCATCTTTTAAAAAGGCCATATTCTTTTTAGCAGACAATCACACACACACAAAAAATATTTTTGTATTTCTTAAGCTTCCTTGTTGTTGTCATTATTATTTTGTTAGTATTTTCTTTCTCATGTTTACTAATACTTTTGATAATCTCAAAGACTAATTCTTTCTAAATTTTGAGGTTTCCCAAAAAGGGATTTTAGCGTTTTAAGATCAGCAAATCGCATTAATCCGTCCTTTTAGCTCCACTGTGCTGAATTTTACCTTGTATCCAACCTAAGTCTTATCAAATATTCTTTACCAAGTGCTCAGAAGAAGGTATTTTAAGATATAAATTTATTTTGCAGATGATGAGTGCACTCCTAAACTTAAAGGTCATGGCTAGATAAATGTCATGGAAAGTCTATGCTACTGAGCTCAAACAAACATTCATAAATGAACTTTATCAAAATGCCATTAAAAGCTATCAGATCCTTGCTTTCTTGTTGTTACTCAAGGTTAAGTTATACTTACAACAAAAGCCTCGTTAAGTTTCTGCTTTACTTAATGCTTCTACCAAATAGTCTTAACTTTATGATTTTCTTTGGAACTTATAAAGGCTGTAAATAGCATTTCTTAATACTAACTTCTACTTCAGAAGAATTCTAGAGTACTATTAAAGTATGACAGCATCCTGCTAACATACATTACCGTCCATGTATAAAAATAAAATGCAGGAAAAAATATACTAGGCTATTTAGAGGAACGGAAATGAAATAGAAAACTTAACTATTTAGAGTGAGATCATGCGTTATACGGGTGGAGAGCTAAAAGAGACAGACAAAAAGATCACTGACTCCAGCTTCCTTATTTTATAGTTGAGAAAGCTATGATCAGGAGCGGTAAAATACTTCTGTGAAGGTCATAAAGTTACTTACTGGTTGTGCCAGGGCTATAACAGTGGTCTTCTACGTGCAGTTTGCTCGTTCCATTGCAACATCATTTGTCCACCTGCAGACACACATGCTTCTGTATGTAGACTATATTTTTCTGAACATGGCAACCCTGTGGCCCAGGAGTTCCACTCCTGGACATATATCCAACATCCACCAAAAGACATGTACAAGATTATTCATGGCAGCGTTGTTCTTAATAGCCAAAACCGATAGCAGAGAAGGTAGGAGAAAGGGGAGGGGAGAGAAGGGGAACTGAAATATAAGTCAACAATAGAATGGGTAACTAAATTGGTGTATATCCACACAGTGGAATATTACACAACAATTAAAAGATTCATGGAACAAAATGGATAAATCTCAAAAAAGCATATTGTTGAGTGAAAGAAGCCAGACATAGAAATTATGGAGTACATTTGTATTATTTATATCTGTATATATCTCATTAAGGTCAGGGAACATTTCTCAGCATCTGTAGCTCTCTAGCACCTACCACGTTATCTGGCACATAATAGGTGCTCAATGTATATTTATTTTAATGGAAAAATATGTGATATAGAAAAAGACTCAAGGGATGTGTTTTTCTATTGTGAAAAACAACAGGAAATATAGGGAATAATACTTTAATTCTCAATTGTTTACCAGAGCACGGCCTATGGAAACCTTAAATATTAACACAATATTAACTATAACTGACACTTGGCTAGATATGACCACATCTAGACTATGGTAATATTTCAGACTATTGCAAAACAGACACTGCTAATGGAGCCTCTGGTATGACCCCAGAATTAATTCAACCATGATATCAAGTATATGTAATAGTTTTCTCTATTCATATTTTTGGCCTCAGTGGAGAGAAAGTCTTCTCAACTTCTTCCCTTAGTTCTTAAGCAGCAGCAGTGCTGCTGAGTTAATTGGTCAGATTTTAGCACATTGATTAGGTCGTGCTTTTGAGGATTTGTATCTTGGGGTCTAAACGAGCTTATACTAGAAGGAGGCTTTCTCTGACTCCTTGTCCTCTGACACTGGTGGGTGTACTGGCCTTTCATCTCATTGGGGTGATAAGTTTAGGATGAGGGAAATGGAGTAGCTCATCTATCTGCTTTGATTTCAGACTCTTTACACCCAACCTGTGTAGGAATGAGGACTCTACCACCACATGATTCATTGCAGTTTATTAGAGCTCTACACTGAGGTTTGGGCCACTCCTACCGTAAAACATCACATTCCTTCTTTTGACATTTGATTTCCTTAGGGACTACCCAGAAGGTGGGTTGGCTAGACCAAGGTAGGATTTATAAATTCTGTATCTCTTGGCCAAATGCCATTTTAATGCTATAATAAGGCCACCGTTTCATATATCTCATTTCTTCATTCTTAAACACATAACACAAAGAGTCATGATCCTTTCTCCTGCTGTTGGCACTTCAGGCATCTATAGGTGTTATACTGCCTATTATTCCAAGTTATCACATGGAAAAAATCCTTAAAGTCTAAAGGAGAGGTATGCTCATGTTTGAAAAAGATGTGCCCTACTAATTATAGATTAGACAGACCAGATGAATGTGAGTCCCTGGGGGAACCACAGGAACAAATTGTTAATCAATTTGCAATCATCTGTAGAAGCACTGGCTACTGAGCTGCAATTAATACAGCTTTGTGAAAAGCCCTTTTTGCCAAAGCAAGTTCACTTCGTTAAATATTGGCAGACAAGATTTCTATTCTTCTAGTAGATTTTTCTCATCAACAGGATGAAAAAACATGATCTGAACCATTAGGTGGGTAAAAAATGACATTTGATGATCTTTTATCTAAAGGCATTTTTAAAGTGCTGAGCATGCAATGCTGCAATGGAAAAGGCTCTGTTATCCTTAATATTACTTAAATTACCTTTTAAAAGTTTATTTTTTTATCAATGTTTTTTTTATGAGAGGTTAAACTTGATTCAAGATTTTCTCATTATTGTAATATCTAGGTAGGTTATATGCAGCTTGTTTTCATTGAAGCTTTCCAGAAACATTGTATTTTACCTCAGGGAAAACAAAAAGCTTGTGTTCTTTCCTTTCTTGCTGGTGTTATCAGCCCATGCAGCTTTTGACCCCTCGTGCCCTTCATAGTGAGACAACTTTTCAAATGGACTAAGTTAGCTTGCCAACATGACTTGAATTTCATGTTTTACCCTGTTATGATTTAAAATGTTAGCACATGTGGAAATAACTAACACAGTGACATGACAAAAACATGTCAAGAGTTCCTACCAACTATTTCATGAGTCTCCCCCAAATACATAGAGGCAGGAGGCTATTTTATATGAAAGTGCATGAGTTAATATTTAATGGTTTCATTTTTTGTCTTCTTGCTCATTTTTCCCAAACCCAGAAGGTGCCCCTTCACTGTTTATCTGTGCTCTGAGCAAATTCCCAGTTGTTGGGCAACAGAGTTGTTAGACAAATGGTACCCTTTTAATTGTTTTTCTCTTAATCTCATCAATGGACTAAATATATCTTCGTTTATTACTGGCAAATTTTTAAATTAGATATTTCGAAGGTTCTTGGGGGAAAAAAATTTTAACTGCATCAGTCTTTCATTGGAATTATTCATTCTTGATTTAACATCTGTCTGTGGCATAGATACTACAATGAAATCCCATATTTAAGAGAAAAGATATCTCACACGGTTAAAAATATATACGTACTCGCATATGCAAATTTTAGTGATGTTAAATTTTAGATAAAAGCATGTCGAAAAATAAATCCCAGTGAGTCCATGAGAATTGTCTAACCTTCTTGTGTTGATTTGGTTTGCAGTTTAACTCAGCTGCCAAGCAGCTGATAGAGTGGGATAAGCCTCCTGTGCCAGGAGTTGATGCTGGAGAAGGTACTTCGGCAGCAGCTCAGAGCAGCATTGCCCCAAAGCACTCCGACACCAAGAAGAACACCAAAAAGCGGCACTCCTTCACTTCCCTCACCATGGCCAGCAAGTCTTCCCAGGCGTCCCAGAACCGCCATTCCATGGAGATCAGCCCCCCTGTCCTCATCAGCTCCAGCAACCCCACTGCTGCCGCGCGCATCAGCGAGCTGTCTGGGCTCTCCTGCAGTGCCCCGTCTCAGGTAAATTATCCCAATGGCATGAAAAGAACTCAGCCACAAAAATGATCCACTTACAAACGTGTTTGTTCACTAGCTGAAAAATGTTGTTTATTTTAGCCTTCAGAAGATGGGCTCTCCTAAGGAGCAAAGCCTTTCTCATTTTGTAGGTGGGAAGTGGAGAACAGAAAACTGAGTTATGAACTCAAAACTACTCAGTCATTTTCAAAGGAAAGATCAGAAATTACAAGATGATTTAAAGTTTCACTAAGCAATCACTTGGTATTACAGAACCTTCTCACAAAGCTGCTTTGGGAGATCTTGCCAACTAAAACTTTCTCTCCATCCAAACTGAAGATGCTATGGTCAAAACTCATAAAGTTTGCAGTTACCTGCATCTCTGTAACTTACCTTGATATTTAGGCTTCCCAGTTAGAGTTATAGAGAAAAGATGTGAAGATACATTTACTTTAAGTTAAAATCGACATAGAATTTTTTTAAAGCTCATGAGTTCATCAAGATTTTGGCCTGCCTTGGAAAGTAGCTGCTTATTATTCTTGTGTTAAGTAAAATGCACAAGATGATTGGGAGCATTCGTTCATTTATTTGGCAAACATTTATTGAGTGCCTTATTATAGATCTTTCTAGGCACTGTTTTACTATCTTTATAAAGATAAATAAGACATAGGACTTCTCTCCGTTAGACCTTATTTCTAGATTGCAAAATAAGCCTGACTATGGCCCTGCCTAAGTCACAGGGCTGCTGTAGTTATCCAATTAGATGACAGCTGTATTTTCCTCACTGCAAGATCAGAGAACCTGGTCCAAAGTAGCCTGCCACAAGCAGGAGAAATTTTTTTGAAATCTTACGTTTTATTTTAAAAATTTATGCAGCTTTTAAATTCTACTCTACAATATAGCTGTGGTTTTAAAAAAAAAAAAAAACCATAAAAATAAATTATTTTCCCTTAGAAAGAAAGGAGGGAGGGAATGACACAATCTTTGTCTTCAAGAAGCCTACACAGTTTAATAAGTACCTGTTTGGGACCACAGTAAACATTTATAATACAGTTTTTGGTATTCCTTGCCAATATAATTAAAAATTATTTTCTCTCAGACTCATTTATTTGACCCAGCTCCTTTAGATTCATACTCTAGGTTGTGAGTTGAATGCTTTTACTCTCTGAATAGGATTATGGTTTGTCAGTGTTTTTTAGGTGTAGGGCCATGAAACTTTCCATCTAATATGGGGAATAGGACACACATGTGCACACGCATACACACACACACACTAGAACAGAGGGCTATGAGGGCAGAGGTCTTTGTTTTGTTCATGATAAGTCTCAAAGTCAGACATACATTAAGCATTCAATAAATATTTGTTGAATGAATGAGTCATCTGAAAAATGGATAGAGGGGAAAACCATATCATTTTACATGTAGCTCATTATGCTATGTGAAAAATAGACATGGTTTGTAGATTAGAGCAAGAAGCATCATGTAATCTTTTGGCAGTAGAGAAAATTAAAAGAGAAAGGAAGATAAACTTAGCGTTTATATATTTTGCTGCAAACTTAGGAGTCAGGTGTGAGCTTGTCTCGAGCTGCCACTCCAGAGCTAGGAGTGAAGACTATAAAGTAGATTTATTTTTGTTTTGGTTTGACTAGTTTAAGAAACAAGGCTCTTTCTGTGTTCCCATTAAAACAGTTTCCCCTTCATCTGAATTCCACCCCTCTTCCCATATTCTAATTTGTTCTGTTTTTGGTGGCGACGTGATGCCTCAGGGAGAAGTTATTTCTAGAAGAGGATGGGAGATGTTTGAAGTGCTGCCTAGTTTCTCCAGTCTAGGTTTATAGAAAACACTATTTATCTCTAGTACTGTGTACATTGGAGGGAACCAAAGTCGACAATGAAGCAATGAGTATGTGTAGCATATGTGACAGGCATGCACTCTCTTAACCATGGAGAAGAGTGGATATGGAAAGACGGCACTTGCGAGACCATTTAAAACAGGACTCTCCTTTTCTTATGCCCAGAGAAGGATCTATCGTCAGATTTGACTGAGGTACCTGGCTGATGTGTCTCCTGCTATTGGCCCAATTTCTGTATTGCTTTTTCTTAATTAGGTTTGGTTGAATTTATTTAAAAATCCAAAGTGAGGGGCCTAAAGATGTGAGTGTTCATTTTTTCTCTCACGCGAGTGAAATCCATACACACATTGGCAATTTCATGATGGTACAATGGTACCTTCCAGCTCACCTTTCCACCATGTGAGTAGATCTTTGTTCTCATGTTTCTGTATGGCAATTAGAGATCTGTCTCTCTGTCACATCCAAATTCTAAGCAATATGATGGGGAAATGGAGCAAAGGAAGGAACAGAGGGCTTGCTTGCTATTGTTTTTTGACTATTGATTGAAGGCTGAAGTTTCAAATACATAAATTGGAAGATTATTTATAAGCTGTACTGTCCAGGTGGGTCACCGGAACAGATGTGCATGGATGTTTGTGATTGACATCTATAAAAATATGATACTACAACCAACCAAGACATTTCACCTATTCCTCTGATAGTACCCTATGCCCATGATATTTTTTTGACCTCTGCCAGCTGGAGGAATGATTCATAATAAGTGTTTTTATGGCATTTTTGTATTGCCAGTGGCTTCAAGGGAAGAAAGATCTACCCACTCTCTCATTAGCTTTCTCACCTTTTCTCCTTCTCCACATAGCCCTTTCTTGTAGGAGAACCAACCTAATATGCAGGTCCATGAGAAAAGGATAAACACAGCAGAAACTCAGGTTGTACTTGCTCAGGACATGCCCACCTTCAGGCAGTTTTATTCTGCTTTTAGTTATTTCTTAGCGACTTCTGTCTCTTCCTTTACCCCAGTGCTAGGAATGGCCCCGTGTTGAACTAGTATCTGCAGGATTCGTCTTGTTCAGTGCTTCATTCCCATGTCTGCGATGACAAAGACCTTAGGGAACCTCTAGTTCAGCTCTTCACAGGGGTCCAGAGACATGAAGTGACTTGTCCAAGACCATGAGCTTATTAGCAGCTAATTATCCTAGCTTCCATTCTAGGGCTTTCAAGAGAAATGTCAGTCAAAGAGTGAGATCTTTTTCAGATATTTGTAGCGTCAGTCCCAGTAAGCTATATTTTGGTGAATTTTTGTCTATCCTAAAGGTTCCTTGATAATGGTATGCACCTTGAAATGAGCTTCGTTGTATCTTCTAAGAAAGCCTCCATCTTTTATGTGGTGCCAACTTGTAAATGATCTTGAAGTGTGTATATAAACAGATTTATAACAGGATAAACAGGATAAAAAGCTGAAGGCCATTAGGTTTTATCTCAGAATGAAAAACCAGTGTGCTTGCCATTAGAAATTGATCGGAAATAGACTTTGGAGAGACCGAAAATGAGAGTTTGGGGAGAAACTCTTGTTTGTGGCACCCCTTGGATCTGCTTAGATTCAACCAATATATGAACTAACAGGTACAGAGGTAATTTTAAAAAGGTGTAGATTCCATGTGTAACAGATTTATTTGTGAAAGTAAACTGTATGACGTGATGCTGATTCTCACTGGCCTTGGCAGGGTCTAATCCAGTGGGAATCTGAAAGTTCTTTCAGGCCCTCGGGGAACTAAACTCTCAGCTTTGTCCTAATAATCTTTTTTCTTAATTTATGAGAATTGAGGAAACTATATTTAGCTTCAGTTTTTATTACAGAAGGCCTAGCATTTTGGGTATAGCATTGCTTCCTTGAGGAAACAAAGTACGAGCCAACCACATTCCTTTAATAGCGAAAGAAAAACATCCATTCATGCAGAGAGCCCGCGTCCCTACTTCAGCATCTAGTACCACCCATTCGGCAGTCGGACTTGATATGCAATGATTGAAATTGATCAAGTAACTGAACACAGGCAATGAAATGACCTGAATAGCTCAATTTCTTCCTAGTAAATTAATCTTGAGTAGTATGGATAAGACACCTTTAGAAACAGAATGAGGATAGAAAAGATTCCTTTAAAGGTTTATAAATAATTGCCTGCTATAAGAATGTCTAGGCAGCTGCATTTTAATTATGTGTCCCCACTGAAAGGTAGAAATAGTGAAAATGATTCTGAAAATAGCAAAATACCTTAAGCATTTCACAAAGACTTAACATATTGATAGACAGGTGAATATTCATTGGGATCTTCAGGGAAATTGTTAGTAGGCTAATCAGACCAGGCTAACCATCCGAAAGGCCGGCTTGGTTCACGGTAGCATCCCAGGTGGGGCAGCATGTTATTGTGAAGGGCAACAGCAGTTGGATTCTATATGTACAACACTGTAGTGACCAGTATTTATCAAATGATTCCCCAGTATCTTAATACAAATTAGGTAAGCAGTAAATTTGGGTTGAATAAACTGAAAGGGATTCTGCCTTCCAAGAATAATAGAAACTACAGATTTTTTTTTTTTACATCATGACTTTCTTTCCCAAGGTTTAGCTGATATAATCTGTTCTATTAAATATAGTCTTTTTATTAACTTTTTTTTTTCCCTGGCAGGTTCATATAAGCACCACCGGATTAATTGTGACCCCACCCCCGAGCAGCCCAGTGACAACAGGCCCTTCATTCACGTTCCCATCAGATGTTCCCTACCCAGCTGCCCTTGGGGTAAGTACAGTTTCTCCCATCTCTATTTCTCCAGTAGGTATTAGTCATGTTAATCTGGTGCATCCACCTCCTAACACCTGCAGTTTACATAACACTTGCTAGGTGGGGTGGATCACTATCTTTCATCTATTATTTCTGTTAATCTCACAAAAACATTAGGAAGTCTCTTGCCTGCGGCCTGCAAAAATTTTCACAGTATCAGTGGCCTGAAACTATTAGAAGAGCTCTGTAAAATACTTTTCATTTTCCTTGTAGTTCATCCTGATTTCTTGAATGTTTAACCTTTATTACTTTTGAGTTTCTAGACCTTGCTTATTTCTTACAAAGACACATCAATAGAACCAACGAGGGAACTGGTATACCTAATGCTAAATGATTTTCTTTGAGTCACACCATAAGTCGATTTCAAATCTCTACGTTTACTATTCACCTTTTAGTTTCTTGTCTTCTGTCAGTATATCCCAAAGGTCTGTGCTGCCTTGGAAAGCCCTTCAGATTATGCTGATTTTCTTTCTGAAAACATAGCATTCTACAGACAGTCTAAACACTAATTGCTTTAAAGCATCCTAACAGGGGAAATTAATAGGAGGAATGAGACCAGCCAAGGGAGATAGATACAAAGAATACTCTAGAGAGAGAATTAAAAGAGAAGAAACAAGCAAGTCCAACAGGTTAGCAGAAACAATAGTTTAAATCCCTATTTCCTACAATTGCAGGCAATTGAACTGCAAGGAGCCAGCAATTTGAGACATCTCTCAAATTATACTTTTAGACTGTTTCTTCCAGTGCTGAGTTAAATGAGGGTAGAAAAAATTATTAAATCAGATCACTCCAGTGAACCCCATCCCTGTAAGTTGCTTTATTGACTCTCACCTGGTTGTGATGCTCTCAGAGAAATGGTGTGGCCTGGAGATGAGGATACAGACCTGGTTTGGAAGCCCAGCTCAGCCACTTATTTGTACTGTGACCATGAAAAATCACTCAGCTTTTTTAAGCCTCCGTGTCCCTGCCTATAAAATGAGAGTAATAATATCTACTTTGGAGAGTTAGCACCGTACCTAGAATGTAGGAAGTGATAACTATTATTCATCTCGTTATTGGCCTCCATTGTTGCAAGGTAGGACTGTGTGTGACATGTGCCATTGGTTTACTCTAAGAATGCCTTGGGAGGGCTTGGTTCCTTTTGTTATGGTTTCTCTGTTCTCTGTGTCAGGAATGGTGAGGCTTCTAAGCAGTGGGTTTGTTTTTAGGTTGTGGATTTTATATATATTGTAGATTATATTTCCCTCTGCTAGAATGCTTAGAACTAAATTGGTGCTTCCTTCTAGCGGGGACATCACAACATGTTGGTCAAAATGTTGGCTCCAACTGGTTTTATTGTCTTCATTTTCCTTTTGCTTCATTTTTTTTTTAGTTGTTTTTATCTCGATACATTTTATAAGTAATTGAAAACTGACTTTGAAACAAGGCAGAATATAAATAAATGCAGAGTTATTACCTAGCTTGACTTAGATTTTCGAAACCTTTTTATAGAATTGAGCATGTTCTTGTATTTAAATGGAAGTTAATAATGGCTGACTAGAGGTTAAAGTTTTTCTTACGTTACCATAACAATTATAGCTTCCTTGATAGTGTATGTATGGTGCAGGAGGAGCAGTTGCATTGATTGATCTGGAGAGATGATATTCAGGTGACTTATTGAAATGTAGTTTCTCTGAGATTCTGTTAGCCCTGGGTGTTTTGACCAGAGCTGAGTTCCATAGTCATCCTGCCCTCTCACCTCTGGAGAAGACTCTTCTTTCCTTCCTTCCTTTCCCGTCCCAGTACATTCACAGCCAGTTGGTATCCCCAGTGCTAGATGACTACTTCACATGGAAAAATTCTAACCTGATTTCTTAAGGGAAAAAAGACTGATATTTCTGATCTTAGAAAAATTAATTAGTACAAAAGACATAGAGCTGGCCGAGTTTCATCCCTTATGTGCTAAACATTTTATAACATAAGAAATGGCTAATTGCTCTTAGCCAGTGGTGCACTCTAGGGCAAACCAATGGGACAGGTCATAAGGGAGCATGAATATACAAAAATTAATTTACGTTCAATCATTTCATCCTAGGATTACATAAGAAAAACTTCATGTTAAGCCAGAGGAAGGTTTATTAAACCGGTAGTCTACTATGACAGTTCCACTCAATGAAAAACGAAATATAAACAGACATATCTGCCGTCCCAGGAGATGTCTAGATTTGAAAGTCCCCTGTAGGTTGGAAGAAATGTTTTGGATTTAATCTGTTAGGGGTAAGTGGGAAAAATCTGTATAGCATGTGCCCTCTGCATCTTAATCATGGCAAGTATCCTATGTAAAATTTGAAATATTTCGTAAGACTTTGAGACTATCACAGCAATATTATGCACCTTGGTAGGAAAGAAACTGTGCTTTTCATGGTGTAAATATATAGATAATAACTGGCATGAATAGACTTGGAAGTGAAAGTTATTTCTAGTACTTTTTTTTATGAATTGAGACTTTTTAATCTTTTATGCAGAATGAAGTTATGAGCATATTGTCTCATACATCTCACATGTGCAATTAAAATGTTAAATATCTAATATTAGGAGCAAAAGCAGTATTACATTTATCTAATTCAGACATCAGACTATTAACAGTGGTGAGAGTTTTTTCTGACTAATTTTGTGGGGGCAGGAGAATGAAGATTTTAGTGTCATATCTTTTGCAGAATGGAAGAAGAACTTTTAAAACAAGCGATTAATAATTCTTAGACTTCTGGACCAGCTGAGAGGTAGTTAGCCGGTCGAGAAAGGCCAAATATAGCCCATAACCAATTTATAAACAGATTGCATCCAAAAATGTATAACCTTAACTTAAAAAATTTTACACACGCACACACGCGCGCGCACGCATGTATGTGTGCGTGCGTGTGTGTGTGTGTGTGTGTGTGTGTGTGTTTAAAGAAACAATTAAATGATGTCAGGTTCCAGAATAGCCAGTATGTAATTAGTTCATTATAGCCAATGATAGAGGCTAAACAGGATTTATTGCTATCAACAGGGTCAGGGAAAGGGTCTGGAAGGAGAAGGACGGGACTGCCAACCTGGGTAGTTCGAGAAGAAGTAGAACCTTTGGAATTGGCAGGAGTTCTGAAAATCAGGATGAGGGGTAGGATATCGCCAAAACTGTCATAAGAAAGGGGCTTTAGCATCTCAGAAACTGAGGCCTCTTGATCTACAGCCTGTTGTTCTAACGGGGTAGAAGCATAGCATGTTTTCTCATTTGTGAAACACTGAGGATCAGTTATCTTCTGTCTGCAAAGCTAGGTGCCAGCAACACGAAGGTAGGTAAGACAGCCTCTGACTTCTGGGTCTCATGAATCATAACAGTAGCTTCCATTTATTGTGCTTCCTGTGCTCCAGGGAACTGAGACAGGCAGCTTCCCTAATCTGTTTTTAACTCCATCTCACAGATGGGTATATTAAGGCATAGAGACCTTATATAATTTATACAAAGTCAATTAACTTGTGTAGGTATCTCTTCTAACAAATCAACTATAGAACAGTAAGTCTACAATTTGTGAGGGAAATTCCACTCCCAGAGAGATATTTACAAATTACCACATTCTTAATTACTTCTTCTCCTTTAGACATCGTCTAAGTATCTGTTTCTAACATCTTTTAAATATTCTTTAATTTTTTTTCTTTATCTTCATAGCTATACCCATTGCTGACTGGCTTAATTCCAGTGAGCATCCACTTGAGATGAAAGACTCACTGATTTCCATATTTATCTTAATTTTATTGAATTCTGATACCTAAGTTATTTACCTAATACCTAAGTTATACCTAAGTATCAGCACTTTCATTTTGCTACTTGTTACATAAAAAATAAGGTGAAATACTCAAATAACTGCACAAACATTGCTGTATGTCAGTGGTAATGCTGCTGAAGTTGATAACACTGTGGACTTGAGGGAACATGATTATACAGCAGCTTAAACTGTTCCCTCACTGGCCAGTGTACATGCGTCTGAGTTCAGTACACATTCCAAAAAAAAAAAAAAGACTGTTTAGAGATGATGATGTATATTGAAAGTGAGTTGATTAGAAATCAGATGTTTAGAAAGAAACAATGATGGAATTGAGGAATATTAAGTGTTATTTACCCAAGGGACTCAAAAATGCCCAAACTCTATCCTGCCAGTTACTCTTCTATTTTGGGAAGTATGTGAGGGAGATGCAACAGAAGGGACAATTGGAAAGGAAATGAACCTTTTATTGTCGGTTGAACTTGGACTTAAAACTACAATGCAAAGTACTTTACATCTGATAAGCTGGCCTACAGACCCTAGTCCCCTATCCTTAGCCAAATTCAGATCTAGCCACTATGTGGGCTGGTTACATGAAAGGACAAAAGGAGAAGAGAGCACCAGAGAGGAGGAGTTTCACATCCACATAGTTGAACTTTTCACTCACAGCGTCCGCTAGCAAATGTGGCCTGTCAGTGGTCTGGAATCCAACCCACTCAGAGTGAGGGCACTTTTTTCCTGGTGCTCATTCTGACAAAGGAGAAAAATCGAGGACTGACCTAAAAGGCTAAGCCAGGAGAGGAATCTGCGTTTTTCTGACTCCAAAGCCCAGGCTTCTTCTATAATGTAAAGCTGCCTCTTCTTTCAAGATCAGTACATCAGGAGAATAGAACCTGGATGTGGCAAAATATGACCATTTCACAGTAGTAGATCAGTATGTCCTATTTTTAAGCCAAGTATTACTCAAAATTACTAATTCTTGCCTCAGACCATCACCAAATGCTGGTACAAAGAAGGTCTGAATCTATAGAAGCACAAGCAGGAAGCTCATTTTTAGTGAATATCAGAATCACATCCAGTTTTCTACGTCAATATTTTTGCAGCCTGGGCCATAGCTATAGACAATTTTACTTTGATAATATAGAGCAGTTGCATTTCCATAAAGCTAAAACTACAAGTGATGAGCACTTTTCCAGCTCCTATTGATTTAACAAGTAGTATTTAGTGAAAATGTTATTTAAATATGATATTAGGTTCTGAACAATATTAAGTTAACAAAATACTGTTTAGCAAAATGTCACCTATGCTGGTAGGAGGCCCGTAGATGTTTTCTTGCTGCTGGCGGAGAGTGCTTCTTGGCCTCTGGTGCCTGGGCTGGCCCCGGCTGTGAAGTAATAGGCAGGTCTCCAGGTCAGCTCTGGGTGAATGAAAGGTTGTGGTTTGCTCTGTAGAAATTTTAGGTCTTGCAGGATGGCAAGCTGCCTGAAGCACAACACATAGTGGATTACCTTTTGAACTTCCACATCACCAGATTATTTCAGTTTAGGTTGTTTATAGAGCAACCCACAGAACTTCCTAGTCTGTCACCACTCTGGACTCACCAGAGCCCTATCATTTTACCAACCCCACAGGGCCAAGCAACATCTAGGAACCTGATTTTAATCAGACTGTCTCTCTTGGTCTTTGTGTGCTTACATACCCACAAATACACATGCACACATACATGTACATTTCCCCAGACATAGGTAACCCAGCTTTGGGGAAAAAAATCTGTTCAATTTTATTAAGACCATCTATGTCTCATCCACAAAAAGAGAGAGATAATTGTATTTTAAAAAGAGAGAGATAATTGTATTTTCTCTCAAGCACGACCTTTGAGATCTTTCATAATATCCTCTTTTATGCTATATTTCAAATGCCTACTAAGTTATTCTTTGTAATAGTAATGTGCATGAAACATTTGCTTACTATATTGTTTAACTGTGAGAGGTGACCCTTCTTTTACATTTGTTAACAAAATATGACATGACACGTTTTATCAGGTCAATAGATGTTCTTGCCTTCTTCTTAGGACTAATTTAGTACAGCCTCTGGTTTAATAAGTTAAACTATAACTGATAATTTCCTTTCCTCTTGAAAATGGAATTCTACTTTGAGTGTAAAATGGAGCTTTTCGGTTCTGTGCCTTAGGTACTATTTTAAGTAATTTCTAGGAGTGATTATTGTTGGGCTCCTGTTGAGCATGTGCCATTTGTCTTCTGCCTTTTCCACAGCCATGCTGTTTTGAGATTGGGTTTAGGAAGATTTAAATGGAAATCAGTTAAGTGGTAATTTTACAGTCTCTGTATATTATTCTACATACAGTCTAGACTTGTTATCTCACCCGTCAAGCCGCTGGTGTGTTATTACCCATGAACTGCCCAGGTCACATGTGCTGACTGTTTTACCAAGGATTAGCTTCACTTCTCTTCACTTTGTCACTGGGTAGAGACGGAATGGAATGAGTGTTTGACTTTCTCCTGGTTAAAGGTTTTGAAGGCTCTGAGCCCAAGTCCATGCAAATTCCAGAGCTGTCACAAATCCTAATTTTGCCGCGTTTTGTGTGGAGAAAGTAACGTTCATGAAGCTCTAACTCTGTGAACTGACTTCCCTGCCTCGTCCAGGTTAGCACTCTGTAAGCAGCTCTGCACCTCATTTATTTCTGCACTGACTCTTCAGCAACAGGTTCAGCTACAGTATGGGAGAAATCCTTCTTGGAAGTCACTTTAGCAGAAAATTAAATATAATGTGTGAAAGAGTGGCAACGTATGTCTAGACGTTTACAATGTTTTTCTACTCAGTTTATGATGTTTCTGGAATTATGTACATTAACAGGCAGATGAAATCAATATTGATGAGATTCAAATTTCTCTTCTAAAAAATAGAAAGAAAATGACTTATGAGCTATGTTCGAAGTCCTTGGATTTGTCTTATCAATATGCTGATGCATAGAAACCATTGATGCTTTCCTAGGTGCATTCTTTAGTCTCATTGCTCCTTTGATTCAGTTTTTACATATGGCGATTCAAAGATTTGGAGAGGACGAAGTGGGGGTTCAGGTAGGTCTTTGTTTGCTTGTTTCCCCAGGAGTTTTAGTATACAGACCCTGAGGAATTATCTGGGGTTTATACACCAGAAGGTAACAATTGCTCCATTGATTTTCAAAAGGCATGGAGTCCTGAAGGCAGAACCACATTAGTCTGTGACCATAAAGGAAACTGCAGCTTTTCACTGGTGTACTTGTTAAAGATTACCAGCCTTGATAGTACTAAATTTCAAAAGCCGGCATAGTTAAGAAAAGAATAAGCAAAAATAACAATAGCCCAGTGATTGTGGCTTGCTGTTGTTTGAGCTTTTTGGAGACTAGGCATCAAAGGAAATTTTCTTCTGAAGGCATGATTTGAGATATAGTGCAGCTCAATTGTTTTGTTTTGTGTTGTTTTTAAGTTTCAAGTTACAGAAACAATAACAAATTAATTCCTTGCAAGCAATGTGGCATTATAGCTGCCACCTTGAAAAGCGTTTGGATTCTTGTCCAATTCTATACTTAAAATTACATGCAATTGTTTCTTTTTTCTTTTCCTCCTTCCAAGTGTGATTACTTACCTGTTTGCTGAAAAAGGTTGCTGTGGCTTTAAGATCTTAAAGGAGAACAAGGTAGATTTTTTTAAAGGAGGTTTTCTTGCTAGGTAGCCTGCTGGTTCTGCTCTGTGTGGATTCCATTAAAGTCTTTTTTTTCATGGATTTCTGATTCCTTTTCCTTTCCACCTTACATAAAAGATGTAAATAAATGTTATTTTTTCCCCCTCTCTTTTCTTCTTATGCCAGACTATGAATCCTCCTCTTCCCCCGCCCCCTCTCCTGGCCCCCACGCTGCCAGGCGCTGCTGCTGCTGCTGCTGCTGCTAGAATGGGACCCAGGCCCACAGCGGGACCCACTGACCAGATTGCACATTTACGGCCTCAGACTCGCCCCAGTGTGTAAGTGAGGGTATCATTTATTACTGCTTACACGTTCATTTCAAACTAAGCCCAAACAGCAGAGGTAAAGAAACACCTCTCTGATATGAGGTGGTGACAGGCTTATGGCTCACAGAAGTGGTTTGTGTTCTGCAAACTTCTACCCAGTCATGCATATAATTAGGAAACTGCTGAAACAAATAATGAGCTCTAATACATGAGCTCTCTGGGCAGCCATCCTGCTGAGTGAAGGCCTTCCATAGTGTAGGCAAACAGAGCTGTTTGCTTCTTCACAATATTTTATGTGTATGGAACTGCCTTTTGAGCCTTTTGTCTCCATTTTCGTTCCTTGCCTTAGGATGCTAAGGAATGCGAAGGTATTCCACACAAATCAGGTCTAGTTGTGGTATGGACGTGAAAAGCTCTAAGTCCCCAGCAATAAGTATGCAGAAAAGTCTAATTACCTTGTTCAGAGTTTACCAATGGCAGAAACAGCTAGAGTTTTCTGGATCCTGTATTGTATGAGTTTATACACGGAACAGCTTAGAGCCCTGGTACAAACTGATAAGTATTGCCTGCCTGGTTTCCATATGTCGGTGGTACGGTCACCTTGCATCGTGGGGTTATTTTGCAGTCTCTGTGATCTGGACTTTCTTTCCCTTTGACTTTTTCAAACTCGGTATTTTTACTGGCTGAGCATTCAGAAACAGGTGCAGCCCAAGCTTCTCGGTTCAGCTTCTGTGTGGAAGGCAGCACGCTGTGCTTCCCAGTGGGATTTCATACCATATGTCCTCATTTGGGGCTCCTTCCCAAGTCTAACAAGTGCCGTTTGAAGAGCTCAATTTTCCCAGTGGGTACCTAATCCCCAACAACAAGTTAGGCGCTCTGGGAAGCTGCATTAATTCTTTCACACCCTGCGAGTACCATTTGGTGGGATAGTCACCTTCACACAGAGAACCAAGGTGGCAGTTCTAAATCAGGAAGGCCTCTGCCTTTTAAATGTAGATGGCAGAACCTCTTTCAGTGGAAAATTATGAATGCTACTTGCAGGTTAAAGGATTATACTTTCTGTTTACATTTGTACAAAATGTTTAAGACTTTATACCAAGGAAGAGTTTCGTGCATCTTGGGGTTTGCCTGTTACTCAGCCTGAACTCAAATATTTTTTTCTATTCTAGGTATGTTGCTATATATCCATATACTCCTCGGAAAGAGGATGAGCTGGAACTGAGAAAAGGGGAGATGTTTTTAGTGTTTGAACGTTGCCAGGATGGCTGGTTCAAAGGGACATCGATGCATACCAGCAAGATAGGGGTTTTCCCTGGCAATTATGTGGCACCAGTCACAAGGTATGGTTTTGAATAAATAGTTTACTAACTTCTAAACAGAGAAGCTTTGTTCTTTCCATGGCTCTCAGCCTATCCAGATTCCTTCTCACATTATAATTGCCTGTTATAGAGCCAACAATAAAAAAATCCATATCTATGTTTGCTGAAATCCTCTTTAACTCTAAAATTTTTAGCTTACCTTCCACATGGATGTATGTGAAATTGTAAGTTTCTACAAGTAAATCTACTGGGTTTTAAGTTACTTGCTTTAAGTTATATGTGGAAGACTCAAGTAGATCATTTTCAATATTTTCTGCTTGAAAAAAAGCATAATGTTTAATATAAATAAAAGCTATATTATTAATACTTAGATGTTTCTATAATGCTTAGTACATGCTAGCCAAGCAGATTTCTAAATGTGTTGCACATATTAACTTTAAGCCATTAAACAGCACGTTGTAGTTGTCATTATCCCCACTTACTAGATGAGGAAATAGGGGCACAAAGAGATCGAATAACTTTTCAGAGATGACGCAGTGAAGAAGTGCTCAAAACCATGTGGTCTGGCTCTGTATCCCAATAGCTTGATTACCTCTGAATGCTGGCACTTAATTTCTATAATACAGTCAGAAGTAAAGTTCCTTAAATATGACTTAGATCTTTTATCTTTCTCAACTGAAGGTGATTTTGCTCCCTAAGGGAATTTGCCAATGTCTGGACACATTTTTTATTGTCATTACAGGAGGGTGGCGGGGTGGAGTAGGTTGCTATTGGCATCTAGTGCATAGAAGTCAAGGATGTTACTAAACATCGTACAGTTCATAGGACAGCCTCCCACAGAAAGGAATTATCTGGCCCAAAAAGGTCACTGAGGCTGAGAAACCCCGTTATACGGAAATGGCAAGTAAGAGCTTTTAAATATACGAAATTTTCTTTATTTTATTTAGAGATAGATCAATCACCTTCTGGTTACTGAGGAAAGTAGTCTTGGAAACTGAATGAAATGACCTATAATGGCATCAGCATTGAGGGAGCCTCAGTTTTGTCCACTGGGCTCTTAAATGGTCCAGGTTTAACTGTGTTAAATCATTCTTTAAACCACCCTGATTTTAAATAAATGGCTTAATGAACTGACATATTTGTCAGCTGTTGGCCTTGATTTATGTTTGGCCAGCAGCCTGATCAAATAAAAATCACTATTGTTGCAGATGGTGACAGGATGCTGGCTTTAATTTGACTTGCAGATTTTCAATCAGTATAAACTTTATTTTCTGTATATGTTAAAATCTACATTCAGAATCCAGAAGATAGTAGATAGACACTACCTGGTGGGGAAAAACAAAAAAACAAACTGCAAAAACAAGGGGAGTAAGATAAACCAAACAACAACAAAATATTAAGTTAATAAAGGAAAACATTTTCATAAGATTCAAAAACAAATTGTCAAAAGTCTCTGAAGAGAAGCTTACTTACAGTAAATTTTTTGTTATGCATCATGGAAAATAATAAGGACATTTGAGTAAATGAAGTATTTTACTTAGTAGAAAGTTACTATGTATATAATTGTTTAAATGAATTTAGAATATAAGAAAATATATTGCACAGAAATATACCAAACCTAATTTAATTAAATTCAACCAGTAAGTATTTGTTTAGAGCTTACTGTACCACTATACCTGCAAATCCTGGAGAAATGGAAAAGAAACATTTCACACTAGCTCTGTCTTCCAGGAACTTTTTTACTGAGTCAGGAGTACTTAATAATAAATTTACTAAAAAATAACACACCACATTTTATAATCAAGGGACATAGAAGGAAGAAATCCACATGAAATAGAGTAGTCAAAGCCTTAAACTTGAACCTTAGGCAAGGCTTCTTGAAATGATGGGATTTCCTCTGGGTCTTGACACATAAATGAGATTAAGGTAGGTCAAGAGAAGCCAGAGAGGACATTCCGAGAGTGCTTACATATGTGTATGTGCGCACGTGTGCATTACACAAGCACTTGTGTGATACGGAGCTAGGGACAAGCAGGGAGAAGGGCAGAAAACATGAGCAAGGCTATGGAAATGTGATTGTAAGGTAAGAAACTCGGCTTCTTGGTAGATGAAGGAGGAAAATCCAGGGCATTAAATCAGTGGAGAGGTTTGGCCTTGGTATGGAGAGCTGACTGCAATAACTGTACATTCTTGAGCAGTATGATGTATGATTTTCTGTGACTTAGAATACATTTCAAGACCTTTCTCTGCCTCAGGACCATTGTTACTTTGAATTTTCTATTCTTACATTTATAAAAATAATTTCATTCATTTTTTTTAAATGTTCTGTCTTAAAGCTCTGAGTCATTTTTCTTGCATTTAATTGTTCTGTCTTCCACTTTACTGAAGGACTGAGCTTTCTGTCTGTTTTTCTGTCATGGCAGAGCGGTGACAGGTGCTTCCCAAGCTAAAGTCCCTGTGTCTACAGCCGGTCAGACAAGTCGGGGGGTGACCATAGTCAGTCCTTCCACTGCGGGAGGATCTGCCCAGAAGTTCCAAGGAAATGGTATGGCCGAGAGTCCCAGTGTTGTACCCACAGCCGTGGTGTCAGCAGCTCACATCCAAACAAGTCCTCAGGCTAAAGTCTTGTTGCAGATGACAGTCAGCCAGGCCCGAAATGCCGCAAGGACAGGTAAGGAGGAAACCAGACTGGGAAGTATCAGAAAAAGGGCTTGTCTGCCTAATATCAGATCTTTAATGACAATTATTGATAAAAGCAATTGTAATATTAAAATAATGAATAACAAGAAATGGAAGTAGGCACAGTCTAGTCAATGGCACCTTACATCTGCTTATTTTGGCTAAAACGGCCCTGCATGTTAATTCAATTCTGATCTACAGATCGAAAGCCTGAAAGAAATTAGGCTGATCCTAAGAATGCCAATAGTACTTGAAACTATGACTTCTGTAGACAAGATTGTATGATCTCAGATCTCACTGCTGTCAGCTGTGTGTCCGCTGCATGATTGTCTGGTAACTGATATGCAGACGATTTTTTATGAATTTAGTCATAAGTCTGTTTTAGACCCAATGGGATCTTAAATAGCTTTCTCCTTTCTATAGCATTGAAAACCTACCAAGAGTCTTGGATAATGGTGGGAGTAAACCTGTGACTTCTAACAGAAAAAAAAAAAACAAAAGAAAGAAAGAAATTAATAAGAAAAGGGAGAATTATGTTTGAAAAGGACTGGATGGAGGCCAGGATAGGTTGACACTGTAGAGCAGGGGCCCCCAACCCCCAGGCCATGGACAGGTACTGGTCTATGACCTGTTAGGAACTGGGCAGCACAGCAGGAGGTAAGTGGCAGGTGAGTGACAAGCAAGAGAAGCTTCATCTGTGTTTGCAGCTGCTCCCCAATGCTAGCATCACCGCCTCAGCTCCACCTCAGATTGTTAGGTGTTAGATTCTCATAGGAGCACTGATCTCTGGTGCCAAAAATGTTGGGGACCCCTGCTGTGGAGGACCATCAGAAACTGGCTCCGTGTCTCTAATTCCATGGAAAAGCCTTCTCTCTAACCGAAGGGCCTCAGAGTCATAGCTGAGCTTCTAGACACTCGATAGATTTAAGGACTGATCTAGAAGGAGAACAGTGTCTAGGGACCCCACTAAGATTAAGTGCTTTTAAACCTCCGTACATCCATTATTTATTGTAATAAATGCAATAGCAACCTATCATTATTGTCTGATACAGTGAAATGACTCATGTTTTGGTGAATAGCATTTATTGGAAAGTTGGATTTCACTCTGTTCTCTCTTGTCGTCTGCTAGTTGCAGCACACAACCAAGAACGGCCTACAGCAGCAGTGACGCCCATCCAGGTGCAGAGCGCCGCTGGCCCAGGTCCGGCAGCCGTGGGCCTGCCGCATCATCCCCTGGCCTCCCCACAGCCCCCACCTCCAATGGCAGGCCCTGCTACCCATGTCACTGCCGTCAGTATGGGTCGGGCCAGTGCACCCCTGGCCTGCGCTGCAGCTGCTTCACTGGCATCCCCAAGCATCCCCCACACTGCTCTGGAGACCGAGCCCAGTGGCCAGGCAATGACCATTCTCTCTGGACTTTCCACCTCTCCTGAGAGCGCTTCCTCCGCTTGTGGGAACAGTTCGGAAGCTAAGCCAGACAAGGATAGTAAAGTAAGACCAACATCCCATGTCTCTGCTTATGTGGTGTCCCATCTTTTCTACTAGTGAAACGGCTCATACAGCAGATGCCAGTCACTGTGTCAGGGGCTGGACTCATGTTTCTCTGCGTTTAAAGGCCCGCTCGTTGCTAGGCCTTGTGTTAGACTTTGGGAAGCTGCAGCAGATAAGACATAGTCACTTCTCCTGCAGCTTAACATCTCATGGAGGGGTTTCTTTTCCCCGTAGTTACTCATTCTTTCATCATTTCGCTGTCCTTAATTCTTCCTCTTCAGTCAGTTTTGTTTCTTGTTAACAGTCTGCCAAAAAAAAAAAAAAGAAAAAGAAAAAGAAAAAAAATTTAACATACAAAGGAGTTGAAACTGTTGATCAGAAGTGTTATTTTTGGATTTATTTCTTCTGTGGCATATTTGGTTATAATCGGCATGGATAGTTTTTCTCTTGACTTGAAATGTAGGGGGAAATTATTTTCTAAATCCATCGATCTTTTAAAACTCTCTCTGTTGGGCTGAATTTCAAAGAAAATATAAACGGAAAGCTTTGTTTGAAAGACCGACCTTTGGTTGAGTTTGGACACAGGTGGTTGGAGGCAAGGAAAATAGATGATGATTAAATGTGAACAGAAAGAGAAGAGTAAGAACAAAGTCTGGATATTGTATTGTATTCATGACTTTTTCCTCAGCATTTCATGCATTTCTTTTTAAAAGCTCAGTTCCAAGAAGCTCTAGGGTAGTCATAAACTGTTAGCCACCTGGTGTAGTCGTAATGGATGTCGCTCTATTTAAATGGTTAGGTAAGCCTGTAAATGGGGGTTTATAAGGAAATAAACTTTATAGCCTACTAAAAAGTTAATATTTAATTGTTGGGTTAGCATGAGTGTTTTTCAAAAAGATTGGTATCTCTTCAGCGTTTATAATTAACTACATTAAACTTACACTCAAGCTGACATGTTCAACTTTGTCAATATCTTTAAAAGAACTATGGTTTTGATTTTAATGTTTGGAACAATGTGTCTCAGGGCCCTTGTCACTGAGGAAAACAGAGACTCTTCAGCCCCTGCCCCTCCACCCCCAGGAAAGAATTCATTGAATCTCTGAGGCTTGAAAGGGACCTGTGCTAGACAGAATAATGGCTCCCCAAAGTTGTTCACGTCCTAATCCCTGAAATTTGAGAATACGTCTCCTTACATAGCAAAAGGAATTTTATAGGTGTTATTAAATTAAAGATTTTGCGGTGAGGGGGTTATCCTGGATTATCAGGGTGGGATGAGTATAATCACAAGGATCTTCGTGAAAGGGAGACGGGAGGATCAGGGCCTGAGAAGATGTGACCTCAGAAGAGGAGATCGGTGTGATGTGAGGAAGGAGCCATAAGCTGAGAAATGAAGCAGCTTCTAGAATCTGGAAAAGACAAGGAAGCGGAGTCTTCCCTAGGGCCTCCAGAAGGAATGCAGCCCTGCCAACACCTTGATTTTAGGACCTGACTTTCACCATGAAGTTTATGGTAATTTGTTATGGCAGCAACTAATACAGAACCTTGGGGATTATCCTGTTGAGTACCCATCCTTGACAGACACTGGCCTTTGTTTGGAAGCCATGTTGACTGTGAGGGCCTTCGCTTCAGAGTGTCCCCTGCCATTTTCTTTATTTTGATTTGCTGGGTAGAAAGTGTTGATCTCCTTTCTGTATGATCTCTTGAGGTATTTCAGGTTTATCTTCTTTTTTTAGGGTTATACTCTTAAAGTTTTTTTCATTGTTCCTCATGTCACAGGTTGCAGATTTTCTCTACCTAAATTTATTACCCCATTTAATGTTCCAAGTCCACTAAAGAGACTTTTCCTGGTTGATATAAATTTAATAATTCCATGATTAACATGTTGTTTAGCCCACATTCCTCCATCCTGTCCACCAGGGTATCATGGCAGAACTTAGTAAATGCCCATTGAGATATAAATGTCTTTTACATTCTCCAACCAAACAATTCCCCAGTGGCCCCATCATCTCAGCTGTTAGTTATTGTCAGCAAACGTCTCCTGGGAGAGCAGTCTCATTTCCTTTTCTGAGTAAACCTTTCATTTAATACACTGTTCTAGAATTTTCCGGACAGTCTTCAAAATGCATTGCAGTCTTTTTTTTTTTTTTTTTTTTTTTGACAATTATGACTGTACATGCCCTTCTTTGGCCTACCAAGTTGACCTGATCCCAGCTTCACCAGGATCTGTCAAAGATTATTGGTTGCATTTCAGCTCTTCATTTTCTTTGCACACTGAGATGAATTCGGCCTGTCAAGAGTAGTTGTTTGATCTCTAAATCCCAATCTCTTCACCCATTTCTCTCTTACTAAGGTTCATTCTTCCTTTCTAGTCTGAAAATCATCCTTCCTTTTCTTCATACCATCTAAGAACCATCATCTCTTCCAAACAGCAGGTCTATGTCTTTCTTGTTGTGGCTTCAAACATAACTTTAAAGCAGCCCACGTACACACGCACCCTTTTTTTTTCTTGGTCTTTAGAATTTTTGCAACTTTAAGTTCATGTGGATCATGATAATGTTCTTTCTTATGAGCTCTTCTCTTGATCTTTTTGTAGAAATCTTTTTAAAAATTTGAGCCCATTAGGCTGCTCCCTGGAGGATCACATCAGTGCCTTTATATGCCTCTACATTTTCATCTGCTGGGACAAATTAGCAATTGTACATTATAGTTAGAATTGCATTCTGCAGAGCCCTCCCAATCCTCTTGAAGTATCTTCCCTTTTGAGTTTCAGGTCATGCATATATTTTTTTGAACTTAAAATCAGTTCTTTTAAACTTTAGAGTTCAAATCTAACTACAGCCAACTTCTCTTTAGGTGCTTGCTTCCAAGTTCTCAATATTTCTGCTTCACCAGCTGAACCTCTCCATCCCCCACCTGGTCTCTTCCTTTCCCTCAGTTGATCAGAATCAGATCCAGAGTTGCATTTTGCTCATGTTTCTGTAAGATTAAATTATCAGCAAGGCAAGGAAAAAGTGTATCAGAGATTCTAGTTTTAGTTGAGACTTCCAGCAAATATCTAGGTATTTGACCATTCCCTTGTTATTTTTGTCTTCTTTTGTCATTAGGTGATCTGCATCATTCATGCACTTAAACTCCTGAGGCAGTGTGGGGTGTGTCCCCCAAACGATAGCTTGTCGATTGTTCTTTTCTCTTTACCAAAATGCACCACAGAGATGTGTAACTTTTCAGTGTGCACAGAGGACTATTGCAGCCCCTCGCCTGACTAGGCTAGTCCTTTCGAACAATATTTTACTTGGAAGTCCTCTCTCACAAAGTCTCAGAACTCTGTTTTTGTCTCTGATTTAAAATCTCTAGCTAATTTTGTCTGGTAACCGCATTCTGTGGTTTGATAAATAGGCATCTGAAACTCTGTAATATAATTCCCAAATGTCATCTCAGTTATTTCTTGGTTGAAATCTTGGGCCTTTCTGCAATTGCTATTCTTTCTGCAAGATCCCTGATGTGTTCTATAGTTACCGGTTTAACAGCTTTATCTGGACATTTTTCTAACTTCATATTCAATTTAAAGTCTTCATTGTTTGATCAGCTTGTCTCCAGGCAAATATGTTTTCCAATCCTTATGAGATACTCATGTATATGCATATGTATTTCTTTGGTTTCTTATTTTTAAAAAATTATGCATTCTTATTTAGAAGTTAGGGAAAATCTAAACATCTGAACAAAACCCTAAGTATTATCTAAGATTTCAAAGAAAATCATTAATATTATGGTGCATGTATGCTTTTTTTTCCTTCATATACCAAAACATAATAAATATTAGTTTAGTGTAGTAAGCTTTCTTCACAAAATAAAATCTTTTCTTTAGCACCAATTATGTAGCTGGCTGTTCTTATATTCTCTCAGTTGTGTTAAAATAAGAATTTATTTGATCAGGTATCTATTCAAATCAGGCAGTGCTAATCCGGAAGTGGTTAGGAGTGCTCTACCCACAAGAACTAGAGGCAAAACTTTTATAGAGAAGACAGGAAGCAATGCAAGGAAATTATTCGATTGGCTATAGCTTGAGTAATTGCCTTATTTGGGAAAGATTCATTAGTTGTTTGTGATTGGTTGTCCTTAGGTTTTGATTCCTTAACCTTGAGGCATTTATAGGTTTAGGTTTTCCTTTGCTAATGTAGGTTGCTAAGGCATTAGAACCACTCCAGTCTAATGGCCTCTAATTATACCTCTACTCATTTAATTTAACAGTTTTAAACCTCACATCAGAAAAAGAGGAGAAACCACCTCTGATCTCCCTTTACCCCATTTCCTAACCCTACCTTCTTAGTCTCTGAAGATGCTTTCTAAGTCCCCTGATGTTGTTATTTATTCTCCTGCAAATCAGCAGGAGTAGGTGTTGGCTTTCCCACTCTCCGCTGTCAGCTGGGTATGTTCTTGAAAGATAGCATTCCTACACGTGGTCAACATGCAGTGCCTCGACCCTCACCTCAAATTCCTAATGACTCTCTCCTTTAAGGAGCCAGCCACAGCTTTTCTTCAATCAATCCACTAATGTTGGAGGACGTTTGCTATCATTCTTGGTTTTCTTAAGCACAGAGTCCATCTGGTTTTTAAATGCCCATTTTCTTCTATTCTGAACACTTATCTTGAGGTCCCTAGTGATCACTTTCTTTGCTCACATGATTTTCCTTCGTCCCAGTCCTTTATTTTGCTGTCAGAAACCAAGATGGTCTGTGGGCTTTGCCATTTCATTTTTCTTAAGGATAAGCCCACCCTCCCTTTTAAGTGGTTGGAGTCACTATTCCTGCCCCTGCCAGCAGCCGGGATCCAGACCAGGTCTGGACAGTGCAGATGTGCACAGAGTTCAGCTCAGAGTGACGTTCGTGATCACCAGCCTTTAGGTACATGTCTCTGCTCTTGGCATTCCATGGCGTAGATGTGCTTCTAGAGATGATGCCTGTGCCGAACTCACAGAAGAGTAGGGGCTTGGTTCAAATCTCACTTTCGCCCCTTACTAGCAGTGTGATTTTAGGCAAGTTTAGAGAAGTTTAGGCAATGAGAATAATATCGATGCCTATCTCATCAGGTGGGTGTGAAGAATAAGTGCGAAAATCCTTAGAAAAGCATTTAATAAGATTCTTGAATCCAGTGGTGTTTAACCATCTCTAGAATTTCACATGGCCTTTCCCTCTCTCCACACACTTCCTTAAAAAAGCCTTTCCTGAGCCCCCTGCCTCCCCAGTCCCCTTCCCCAGCAGACAGCAACCCCTGGTCATTTTCTCTCCCCTTCCCGAGCTTTATTTTTCTGCAGAGCACCTGTTTTACAGCCACGTTGGTGTCTCTGCTGGAGAATGTGAACTGCTTGTTGTCTTGCTCACCGTTATATTCTCATAGCCTAGCATGTTGGTGGTTCATATAAAACACTGAATAAATATTTATTGAAAAAATGAAGAATGATTATTATTAGACAATTATATGAATTAAGTTTTTGAGATTCCTTACCTAAGAACAGCGACTGATTATTGAGAGTCTTACTGTGTAGATTTTTGATGGCCAATGGCCGAGAACACTATCTTTTGCTACTTTCTCTGTATATCTGAGAGAAAGGAGACAAATAAAGAGGAAAATTTAATGGGTAGAATGTGATTAATTGTAAGTAAGAGATATGTAAAAATTTCTCTTTCTGGTTATCTGGTAATTATTTTCCAACCCAGATAATTCTTTTTTTTTTTTTTTAAATCTGAAATGCGATTTTAAGTCATCAAATCTTCCGAAGAGAAAATTATGACTACAAAAATATTATTTCATCTAGGAGTAATTCCGTGGGAAACCCACAGGAGAGTAATTATTAAGGTTTATGTTAAAAGTTATGTCCCTTTTCCTGCATTCTAACATTACATTTAAAAAATTGCTTTGCTGATGTGTAGTCTTTATTAATTTTTCTATAGTTTTCATTTCTGCTGGATTTTGAAAAAACAAAGGTGCCCTTAGATGATAAGTGTCTGAGTTTGCAAAATTATCTCTCAAGTGGCACATCATTCTGCTAACATAGGAAACATCAGAATATGATACTAAAAGCATAGCTCTTTGGAATTAGGGCAGCATCTTCTCTGTTTAACACCCCCAGCCCCTACCCCCAACCCTGCGACAGCACTAATCCTCTGCCTTCTGCTCCGTGGGTAGTCTGCAGCGGCTGATGATGATAACACATCCCCTAGAAGTCATTAAAGCAATCTGTATTTAATATGTTTAATCATTTTAGATGAACCAAGTCATCTTTCTTCTTAATCACTTTATAGGCTGTTCCCTGAGCACCATTCAGTTAAGTGATATTTTTCTGAGTGCCCAGACTGAGCTTTTAAGAAACATCTTTAGCTGTGGCTTGCTGAGATTGTAATTTATCAATGGACTTGATGTTCTTAGTAGATCTGTGGGGGTCCAGGGATTAGAGATGCTTTCTTACATCATGGCAGGGGAAGTTGTGGCTGGCTGCTGCTTTAGATGTGTAAGTTGTTT